CGGGGATGGAAGTATAACAGATAGGCAATGAGAGCCGAAGATATACCGATGAAACCACCGGCTAGAACATCAGTAGAGTGATGGAGATTATCCTGAAGGCGGGTCACAGCAACTTTGAAAGATGACGAGAAAGGAGAAAGTAATTTTTGGTTAATTAGAAAACTTTCATGGAGTGCACATGGCACCGTAGAGAATACGTACTCCAAGTTGCTAGCACCAACCACACTACAGCTACCAAACCCTTGAGCAGCCGGCTTTCCAATGGACCCGATCCACGAAGTCGATCTCCACCAAATGCAAAGGCACCGTTCCTCCCAGCAATCCACAATGCCAAAAAGCCTAAGCCAGAAAATGCTTCGGCAGAATGACCACTGGGGAAGCTCTTCATACCCTTTTCAATCAATTTAAAGTTGGAATGATGAGCTATACAAGTGTTGGTGGTAACTGAATAAGAGCAGCGCGAAAAAAAGTCAGGTCTCAAACGTCCTACCCAAACCTTGAGCAAGTCAGTTGGATAACGTGCGATCACATGAGATGCCAAAAGTCCCAAGAGAGAGAGATGTAGTGTAGGAAGCAAATGAACGCCTCCTGTTGGATAGGAGAGTAGAGTCAAGATGATAAGCACCAAGAATGGTAAAGTCACAGAGAAATGATGAAGCCATTCTTCGGAGATGCTGTTGTTCATAAAGAGTGACATTCGGGTTAATTGAGCATTCGATTGTGATATGAATCGATGATAGCTTACTGCTCTGGCTTGAGTATTCCATGGTACTCAGGGCTAGGGAAGTAGATAGAGAGATCACGTTGGAATGGCTTGAGAGGAGTTAAGTAGATCTGTTTGGAAGCATCAGATCGGTCTGCGAATATTGAACAGCAGCGGATGAAGCAACTCGAAGTTTGTATCTCTACTGACTTTTTCAAGAACAATAGCAGCCAGTACAACTGCCCAATCGACAAGATAAGCAGGGCAGAACCAACCCGACAACGAATGTGAGAGGGAAGTCCTAAAAAGTTGATATAATGATGGACGAGGTGCAGAAGTGATAGGTGTGGATCGTCCGTTCAAAGGATTAGCCTCGAAATCATCGGGAACTTCAGGTGTCGGTGCGGTGGTATGTTGAGCTTGTGATGTTGATGGATTAGGATCCATTGGTCGAAGTTTTGCGGAGTAATAGGTAGGAGAGGAAGT